TACCCATATCCGAACCCAGATAAAAAGAAGAAGAAGAAGAAGAATTCTAAGCAATATGAGGTAATGAATCGCGCTGCTTTCATCTTTGCTAGTTGTCCTGAGGGTGGTCAAGGTTTTTTGTCGCTTCCAACTATCGGTGGGTCACCTGTAAGAGATTTAACGGGTATATTCATAACAATTAGGCGGGATTGAATAAACCCTAAGCATGTAATTCTATCAATTCATAGAATTTGGATCTTGTATTAATTAAATTGCACATAGAATTTACAAGAATCCAGTTTATAGTCCTTCCCTGTTTTCTTGATCTATGATGTTGATCTGCGATCTCTTCCTCGTAATCTCGTGGATCTATCTTTCTCATAATCTCCAATGATGGATTTGTCTTTGCCTATGATTTGTTTCTCTCTCCCGCTTCTCTCGTCTTTTCACAAAGCCCTTGATGTTGAGAACTTTATTTTCTTATGAGATGGGAGAGAGGGGCATGTAGTATATATAGGAGGAGTCCTACAAACCTATTCCTACTAACATTCCCCATGTTCTAACCTAACTAACTGTCCAAGTCAAACATCACAAATTGGACTCTTTAATATTAGAACATTAATAATCCATTAAATACATATTCACCTTAAATACGTTTGACTATTAATTCAATTAGGTCCAACTAATTATATGGTCCACAATAATAGAATAATATAAAAATATTATTACATTCTCCCACTTGGACCATATAAGTGTCGAAACCCAAAGAACTATTTTAAGCGCGCACCTTTCATCAAACTTATAATTGAATACATATATCTATAAATTTAAAATCAAACTAGAAATTAACCGAGTCATGGCGGTCGCAAGTCTTCGAGCGACATGATCCCTTCCATGTACCACAAATTATTTCTAATTCAACTTTACTTTAATATGGAACAATCAGTTCGTACCATAACCATAAGTCATCCAACTTTTATGTATATACTATAAAATCAAATATCCATAATGATGATATTATATGTGAAGAATTAAACATCTTTAATCGAATTCAATAAGTGTCAAAATCATTAATTGAGCAATTTCATTCAGTATCGGTCAGTCCAACAAGGCCCCATTCGTTATTCCCAATTTTCTTTATATGCCTTGCAACAGCTATAGGGAATAACCCTTTAATGGATCCGCTTTCATGCAAATAGTACTAGAATGCTCAAATGACACTTTAGTCATTCACTTCTACTTTTACGACCAAGTATTTCAATTTTATGTGATTCACACCCTTTTAATACTTGTCATTCCTTGAAATATTATTGCTATGATACTGCGATAATTCTTAGCGGCTTGGACAAGATGTCGACATTTCCAAGTCCTAAGATAAAGCACCGTAGCCCTAAATTTGACTTGTGGCCTCAAAGCATACCACAAACTCAACCCTACACCATGGAAGTCGCCATGATGGACTTTGTCCCACTTTTTTATAATTTTGCTCATTTAGACATTATGAGCAAAAGTCTGAATCCGATTATCCAATTATAACAAATAATTTGGATCTTCTTTAAGTTAGCATGTGTTCTTTAATGCCTTGTAAGTACTTTAAAAATTTCTTTGCAGCATAATCATTTAAAATCATTTTTATAGTTGTTTAACGTACCAACAACAAATATATTATCAAACCTAGTACAGGTTCGTCTCGCTTAAGATTCCTAATCATTTATATCTAAGGAATTTTGTCCATCACTTTTTTTCATTCCATTTCACCTTTCGAACATTTATTTTAGACTAAATGTGTCCCTTTTATGAATTGGAATTATACGGAACAACCATCCATTGTAAATATCTCAAAAACTCTCGAATAAAATTTTTATGGGATAAACTTTTAGTCCTTGTGATCTATTCCAGAATATTTCTATTTCAATTACCAAGGACGTTTCATCCACATCCTTTATTTCATAACTTTTTAGAGAGATAATACTTTACTTCGTGCAACATGTCACCATTATTAGCAACTATAATATGTCATCGACCTACGAAACTAAATAACAAATCTACTCCCACTGACCTTAATGTAGATACACCGATCTACGGTATTCTCTACAAAACCATAAGCAGTGATGGTATCATTAAACTTAAGATACCATTGACGAGAGACTTATTTTAGTCCATATATCGATCTATTCAACTTACACACTAATGTTTCATTTCTTGTGATCTCAAAAACTTTTAATTAGTTCATGTAGATCTCCTTTTAAGTTTATCATTTAGAAGGTGATCTTTATGTCCATTTTGATACAACTCAAAAACATACAAAGCCACCATTACCATTACAATTTTCAAGGAATCTTTCTTTGAAACGAGACATAATGCTTCCTTGTAGTCAATGCCTTCCATTTGAGTGTAACCTTTAGAAAGAAGCCTAACTTTATATCTTTCGATATTACCTTTAGAGTCGTGTTTGGTTTTGAAAAATCCATTTACACACAACTCTTTTAGACCCTTCAGGTAATTCTACTAAATTCCAAACTTTGTTGTCATCCATTGACTGTAATTATTCTTTCATAGCATTGATCAACTTTTACAAAATTTTTACTTTTCATGGCTTGTGATTTCATCAACCAAAGGTTGTCCTATAATTTCTTGAGTGTTTGTAACTGATTCATTATCAAGTGAGTTTGGATCATTTTGTTATTCATCTAAGTTACATGACGATACTGTAACTAAAAGAATAACAACCATTAATGGACACCCGGATCTGGACTGTTCAACCTGAGTTTCTTTAACATCCAAATTTTGCAGTTTCAAACTCCCACTGATTTGAACATTTTTAATGAATCGAGCATTGCTGGAATCAACTATTCTCGTACTATGGTTGGACCTGTAAAACTTATATCCTTTAGAACATTTCGAATGGATAATGAATAACCACTGACAGTCCTAGGAATAAGTTTCTTTTCATGTGGATTATATACTTTTATTTTTGTATGACACCCCCAAATATGAAGGTGCCTCAAACTAGGTTTCCTACCCGTCCACAGTTCATAAGGTGTCTTAGGAACTGCCATACTAGGAACTCTTTTTATCCAATATGCAGTAATCTTTAATACATGCATCCACATAGAAAACGTTGATGTTGAATTACTCAACATACAACTAACCATATTCTTTTAAGTACGATTTATCTTCTCAGCAGCACCATTATGTTGAGGAGTCTCAATTATAGTGGAATTCACACAAATATTTTAAATCTCAACAAACATTGCAAATGGACTAGGATATTATCATCTTTAATTGAACTTACAATAATATTCACCACTCTAGTGAGATCTCTCAACTTTTACTTCTAACTACCTCTCCATCTCATCATTGTATATCTTTAGATAGTACAACGATTGAGTCTTTTCATGTAGTAGATAAATATAACTATAACATGAGAAATTATTTATAAGGGTGATGAAATACTTTATACTGCCCCCACAAGGGAACGTCGAATAGGCCACAAGAAAATTAGTGTAAATAAGTTATAAGATTTTAGTGCTTCTATCGGCAGATCTCTTTAATATATGTATAGTTTGCTTTTCTTTAATGTATTCTGCATATACACATTAATCACTAAATCCAAATGAGAAATGGTTTCATTATTCACCATTCTCAAAACTTTTCTTCGGATATGTGACCATAGTATTTAATGCCACAAGAGAGCAGAATTTTTATTATGTGCACTACATTTAACTCCATACATAAGTAGTTGCACATCAAGCCACCAAGTGTTATTAGGAATCTTTAATAAATTTGATTCACAACATACACTACAAGAAATCTGCCGAAAAGTGACGAAAATTCATGTGACGAAAAATAAATCGTCACCGTATGTTGCCTTACGGTGACGAATTTAATAAATCGTCATTACAACATTGCATACAACGACGACTCCTATATTCGTCATCGTAGAATTCTTTTTTCGTCACATAATGGAGTTTTTCATGACAGTGCAACTCAATTCGTCACATATACATCTAAATTCGTCACATGTATATAAAATGTGACGAAATTAAATGTGACAAACAAAATATCGTCACTGTTGCTGTTATTTAAAATGACGCTTGCGGCAAATTCGTCATTATATAATTATTTATTGTGACGATACATTATAATACATCTAAATTCGTCACAATAATACGTATTGTGATGAAATTCACTATGACGAAAACAAATTCGTTGTTTTTCTCTGTATTTGAAATGAAGCTTGCAAAAAATTCGTCATTATATAATTTTGTTTTGTGACGATAAACTATAAAACAACTGAATTCGTCATATTAATACATATTATGACGAAAGTCACTGTGACGAATCAAAATCGTTGTGTTTTTATTGTGTTTAAAATGACGCATAAGTATAATTCGTCATCATACAACTTTCTTTTGTAACAATATGGGTATAATGCATTTATATTCGTCACAATAATACAATATCGTGACGAAATTCACTGTGACGATAAAAATCGTTGATTTTTATTTGTATTTAAAATGATGCTCACGTATAATTCGTCATTATATAACTTTGCTTTGTGACAAATTTGTGTCATAAGTGGTTTAGTAATAATCACAAAATTTATATTCATCATTAAAATATGCCCTTTTCGTTCAGTAACAATCACAAAATTTATATTCATCATTAAAATTTGATTGCTTTTTTTTTTATTTGCTACCAGAAAGTGGCCTAATTTTATTTTATTTTTTTATTTGATTTCCAAACGATCAGAATTCAGAATAAACATCTCCATATCTTATCTAGAACAAAAAATTCTCTATTCAAATTTATCATAAAAAAAACCCCAAATCATCAATCCACAGCAATTCAATGCCCGTGTGTTAGATGAATTTCCCGACCGAGACAAATCGAAGTTTTCTCAACCCACAGTATGTCGCCCTAGTTTTTCCACATCAATTCCCCTCTCAAAATTCCCTAAATTTCTTCTCCCGCGGCAAGAGAAACTCTAGCAGCAAATCTCCGGTGGAAGAAGACCGTTAGCCAAGCAGAAACCGGCGATCGAAGCACCAGTTACCGGCGAGGCGAGTCGGACCCGAGCGACCAAGACCAGCCCTTGTACCCGGCTGAAGCAGATCTCCTCGGCAAAGCAGACCGCCGGCGACCGAGAGCAGACCAATCACGGCTGAGACGAGCGTACAAGGTTTCTGAGTGCACTCTGGAGCGAGCAGCCTTCCAGCACCGAGCTTTGGCCGAAGAACCGCGTCCAATCACCTAAAGAACCGAGCCCCTCTTGTTCAGCAGTTCTCAGCATGTACTCGGGAATGCAGCGGGGCCGAGTTATCCCAGTCAGATTCACCTTCCCATTGGTGCTTATATAGCTTGTGCGGGCCTACTGACCTTGGTGTACGGCCGCATCTGATGTGAATAAGGATCTGAGTTGTTTTTCTTAAGCCAGTGGTTTGATTCGATTATTTGCCAGTGAAACTTCAAGAACATTTTTAATGATCTGATGATACACTTAGGGGTTATGAAGTCAGGAGGCTTTGATATGCAGGTGCGAAGAGAATGGTTGCGTGTTGTTTTTGACAACTTGAGTTCTCAAGGCGTGTTCCGATATTGATGGGCTTAGACAGGGAAATGCAGCCATGGATTTGCTGTGAAAATGAGATTTGAACTCGATCCCAGACCTGCAAATCGTGCTTACTTATCTGGATGAAAAATGCGAGCTCGTGGAAGATACAAAGTCCTTGTTCGACGGGTTGAAGGGAAAAATGTAATTATTTGGAATAATCTCAAGCTTTGCCAAAAATGGTTGTGCTTCCCTATAGAAAGAAAGTAATTGCAATAGACTAGCCAGCAACGAAGAATAAAGGCTTTTGCGCAGAGAGAGGCTGAGGATGCTATGGAGCTATTTTCCGAGTCCATATCGGGAAAGGCATGGGAAGATGGGGAACCATACAATCCTTTGTACTGGTTGTGGCCCAATTAGTCGCTCGAGCGGGCAAAATTGATGGACGAGTACGTCAGCCGTAGTAGGTTCAGAGACGATGTGTACATATGCAGCAGGTTTGTTGACATGTACACAAAAATGGGGAACGTGCACTGCAGGTACTCTAAGCTCAGGCTCATTTGTCGAGGTTGAAGGCAACGGGCAGAAACTCACGATGACACTCAAGAAAGTCTACTCGACCAGAAAACTTGTTGCCTTAAACTCGTCCAATGTTATGAATACCATTCATAGGATTGCTTTTTATTTAGCAAATAATTGTCTGAGCAGGCTAGTTTGCTGAGTAGCTATTACCATAGTTGTTTGTTATAGTACATACAGTTATAATCGATGAAAATGTATTCAGCCTCTATTTTTTTTGTTCTTGGTATTTAATCAACAAATGTATAGCTAATATTTTTTCTATATTTAACATCATCTTTGTCCATTGCCATGACATGGGAATGTCAACTAACCATCCCCTTCAAAGTTTACTTTTCAAAGTAATATGAACTTCGCCTGATAACATCAAACTCATGAGCCTGCATTTATGTACGACATATTACTTCGTTTGATAATATCAAACTCATGAGTCTGAGTTTATGTGCGAGTTTTATGTCGGCAGATGTACATAGTTGTAACCTGATCAAAAGAGAGAACATCTTGAGGCTTTACAAATAGAAAGAAATTGAACTGTAACCTTATCAAAAGAGCCAAAAATAATTTCACATAACATTTTGAGGCTTTACAAACAAAAAGAAATTAAACATCGTAAAACCACATACTGAGCATGTTCATGAAAAAAAAAATATACTGCTCCATGAAAAAAATATACTGCTCCATATACTGCTCCATGAAAAAAAAATATACTGCTCCATGAAAAAAAAAATATACTGCTCCATGAAAAAAAAATATACTGCTCCATGAAAAAAATATACTGCTCCATGAAAAACCATATACTGCTCCATGAAAAAAAAAATTATACTGTTCCATGAAAAAAATATATACTGCTCCATGAAAAAAATATACTGCTCCATGAAAAACCATATACTACTCCATGAAAAAAAAAATATACTGCTCCATATACTACTCCATGAGTTCATGAAAAACCATATACTGAGGTCTTTGTGCATTATACTGCTCCAAATCGAATATGACTCGTCAACTTCAAAAGCAAATACCACATAATAAAAAAAATAGGACATAATTTGGTCGAATACAATTTCAAATAGGAAAAATACAGAAGCCCGAGTCGAAAAGAGTCGAAAAGAACGACAAATACAGGTTTTTATCCTGGGCATATTTCTGAATTGCTAGACAACTTTGGGGCATAGAAAATACACACCAACCGAAGAAATTCTTCTACTATTGATGACAAACATACCTGCACAGGCAACAAATGTAATTATATCAGAGATACTAATTACGATGCTATTCATTAACAAGATATAGAAGATATAGAACACAAAGTAGTTTTTTAGAGCTATGGAAAGCAATGATAAAGATTCACCTGCAATGGCCTTAATGGCCACAATTGGTCTCATAAAAAAACAGAAAACGTACATAATTGCCTACACAAAGAAAAACAACCATTCAGAAAGGTACTAGTGGCAGAACCCAATTAGTGGAACACAAATACAGAAACAAAACACTCATTCTCAAGCACATAAAATTAGCATATACAACTAATAAATCAGAAAATATAAAAATTAAAAATGAAAAATATAAATTTAAAACAACAAATAACCCAGATTAAAAGGCCTCTTATATATCCTCAGTCCAAAGCCTAGAAATCAAATTCAACCTGGAATAAAACAGCAAACAAAAAAAATTTATGGCCAAAATAATCGAAACTTGCAATAAATTAAATTTTTAGATTACCGACCATCATTTTTTTCACTCCTTTTATTGGACTGGAAACACTCGCAGCTCTCACCCCGAACTTTCGTGCCTGTATAGAAATATTACACATCATCAAAAGACAAGCAACAGATAAAGCACATGATAACACATAGAAATATAGGAATAGATATTTGAATGATCAATCATTAATCTTACAAGTCACAACCATACCAGTCAATGTCGTCATCACTATCAGAAGTGTTGCTTTTTTCAGAATCGTCTACACTACTACAATAGTCAACCAGGGTGTCATCAGGGTCATCTTCTTCAATGACATCATCTATGTTTACGAGCTCTGCAATATCCGATAGTGTTTCTATCATTGATTCCTCAATATCTTGAGAATCCACGTCATTCCTACCTAGTGATTCTAATTCATCAACACTAACTTCAAGTGCATCATTTGCTTCATTCTCTTGGTATACCCCATCTTCCACAGAAAACAAATCATTAGGGCCTATTTCATCATCTGACATCTCATCAACATCATAGACATGCCTATGCTGGAATGGTTGCACTACTCGCCAGTCACTTCCTAATTTAGGATCACTAATGTAGAAAACTTGTCTAGCTTGATTAGCTAATATGTAAGGGTCGTTCTCATACCATCTTTTGGTAATCCGAACACTCACAATATTGCCCTCTTTTTGTAACCCTTTTTGTTTTTTGCCCCCAAGATCAAACCATTCACATTTGAATATGGTAATATTCCTATCTTTCACATAGTCAAGCTGAATTATATCAGATACAACACCATAAAATTCTAGTGTATCTTCACCGTGGTTACCCTCCACAGAAATACCGCTATTTTGGGTATTACGACGACTATCACGGTCTTTCGTTAGAAATCTTACGCCATTGACAATACATCCAGCGTACTTTCTAACACATTTGCTTGGGGCACATGCAAGTGAATACAAAGATTCATTTGCTTCTGTTGGATTCTCGTGATACAAATGGGTCATCTGAATGAATAAGATAAAATATCAACTAATTAAATAAAAATTTAATTAAAACGAAAGAAAGAGTAAAGATAAGACGATGAATTATTTTGTATTTGCAAGGCCTTTACATGTTTTCTGAACCACGAAGGAAATTTTTCTCTATGCTCTTCGTTTATGTTTTCACAACCAGCTAATAATAGCTCCTGTATGTGCTTCCTGCATTGAATATAGTTATTTAAGAAAAAGTAAAGTGCAATAATATTATATGTATATGTAAAATATAATTTTATACTTACTCAATATAAGGTTGAACCTCTTCACAATTCTGAAAGACAAACCATTGTACCGTGTTAAACTCTTCCTTGGATAATTCAACAAGTGTTGTTGCTCCAAAGTGGCGACATTTTGCAGAAAATATTGATAGGCTATCATCAATTGTTATATCACAATTTCTATCATCTCTGTTAAATCTAGTCTCAATTCCCCGCAAGTACATGGAGCAAAAAGTTAACGACTCCTTTGCAATGTATGTTTCTGCAATAGATCCTTCCGGATGAGCTTTATTTGTTACACCTTGCTTCAAGTCGCCTAAAAATCTAAAAAAATAAATAAATATATATTATTAAAAACATTTGCAAGAAGAAGTTATAAATAAGAAGCTCATAGTTTAATATAAATTACCGTTCAATTGGAAACATCCATCTAAATTGAACCGGGCCTCCTACCAATGCCTCATTTGGCAAATGGATAGGCAAATGAACCATGACGTCAAAGAATGCAGGAGGATATATCTTCTCTAGTTTGTAAATATCAAACAAATATCATCTCTCATTTTCTCCAATTCTGTTTTTTTCAACTTCCTACAGCATAACCGTTGAAAGAAATTGCCTAATTCAGCCAATACCTCGCATACTTCTTTATTTAAGGACCCACGAATCCCAACAGGAAGTATTCGTTGTAAGAGAATATGGCAATCATGACTCTTTAATCCGGATATCTTTTGATCACTTGAACTAACACAACGAGAGATGTTGGATGCATAGCCATCAGGAAACTTGACGGACTTTAGAAATTCACAAAAGTCACGTCTTTCTTTCTTTTTCATTACATAACAAGCAGCAGGCATCACATGTTTTCCATCACCTGAATTGATCAAGTGCAACTCTTTGCGAATTTTCATGTCCTCCAAATCTCGTCTGGCATCAAGTGTATCTTTTGTTTTCCCTTCTGCACTCATTAAGGTTCCTAAGATGCTCTCACATATATTTTTCTCAATATGCATTACATCTAAATTGTGCCTTAATTTCAACTTACTCCAATAAGGCAAATCAAAGAAAATGCTGCGTTTAGTCCAATTTAACTCCTCGGGGTGTCGCTTCCTTTTTTTGTTGACATGCTTCCCTAGAGTTACATTTTGTAATCCTCGTAGCTGCATTAACACATCCTCCCCACTTAAATCTTGAGGTGCCTCATTGTCTTCTCTTTTTCCATCAAACTTCTTACTTCTCCTCCAAGGATGATCTTTCGGTAAGTAGCGTTGATGTCCCATGTAACATATCTTATTACGCAATCTCAAAGAATGGGTCTTCTCATTGCAAGTGGGACAGGCCAGGTAACCTTTTGTGCTCCACCCAGACAAATCCCCATATGCTGGAAAGTCGTTT